TCCGCAGTGCCTCCTTGTGGCCTCCCATGGAAACTGGGTACCTTGCGGTCCCAGGTTAAACTGTGGGGGATTTCAGAGCAGCAGGAGGCCCCAGAGGTTCAGGGTCATGGCCCACCGGCGTGTGGACACGCCCTAGCCCTGTACCAACTTCTGCCCTTAACCTCCCTGGGGTTAATGGGAGGCTAGGGGGAGGTGGGCCTTGCCAGTCCTCCTCCCCACAGATATAACCAATCAGCAGTGCTTTATATAAAAGGAAAGGCTGGGAGGAGGGGAAAAGACCCTCCCACCCAGCAAGACAGACTGTGGGCCCTGTTGGGAGGGCAGCTGCTGGAGCGCAGGCTGGGATCGGGAACTACTCGTCCTGCCTGCGTTCTGGCAGCTGCCAGCCCGGAGTGAAGTTTCTGGGGGAAAGCCCTAGGGAACCCCAAAGGTGGATGATGGGGCCTGCAACCCACCACCCCCTTTTATGGGGCAGCGTCGGTGGGGGTGGCAAAGGTGGCTTCCACCCGGAGTAACTGCCCGAGGGTGAACCTCAGGCGGGAAGTCAGGGTGGGGGCTAGGAACATCCGTTCTTTGCATCAGGATAATCGGTTACCTCTACTATCGAGGGAATTGGGGAGGCTGAGAGTTGAGGTGGCTGCTGTCTCAGAGGTGAGGAGACCTCGCAGCGGCATGACCAGTGTAGGTGGCTACACCTATTACTGGTCGGGCCGCAGCGACGACCACCATCTCCAGGGAGTAGCCATTGCCATCTCCAGCAGACTCCAGCCCTCTTCAGTGGAGGTTACTCCTGTCAATGAGCGTATAATGGTATTGAGACTGAAGCTAGCATTTGGTTTCATATCTCTTATTGCTGTGTATGCTCCTACCAATGTTTGTAAACTTAACGAGAAAGAGATATTCTACACCAAACTTGCATCTGTAGCAGATAGTTGTCCCTGGCGAGATATTCGAATTTTTCTGGGTGACTTAAATGCAGTATCTGGCTGTGATCGAGCTGGATATGAGATGTCTGTCGGTCTCCATGGCTCAGGAGCTGATGCCGGTAGTGAGAATAGCCTCCTTTTCTGGATTTCCTAGGTCCCAGATATTGAGGATTTTTGGCTTGTTGGAGGATCCTCCAGAACTGCAAGGTGTATAGGAGTGCTGTGTTCTGTGGTACGAAGCAATGATTGGTTGCGGCTACCCTCCGATCCACTTCAAAACTCCCCAGCGGCCCAATGATCACCCTAGGGTGTTTCATTTGGACAGGCTGAGGCAATCTCTGGTCGTTTCACAATGCTCGACAATCTGACAAACCCTGTTCTTCTGTGAGACACCTTCAAGTGCGAAACACTTGATGCAGCTCAAGAGGACGATTGGTGAACGCCCGAGAGCAATACAGAATTTCATCTTATAGGAGACACTGAAAGCCACAGATGCTTGTCGTGTGGCTCATCTGATGGGATCGGTTATTGCATGTGCGCAGAACTCGGTCTCTGTTAAGAAGGGACAAGGAACAGTTTATTAGGAGTCTTACAGAGGTAGAAGGCCAATTCTTAGTAAATGACCTTCGTCCTGCATACCAAGCCCTGAGAAAGCTGAACTCCAAGCCCTCTTCACAGGTGACTGCAGTTCGCTTAGTAGGTGGCCAAATCGTCTCAGATCCTGTTGCAGTGTATTTTGAGCAGCTGTACAAGGTTGACCCACCAACAGATAACTTGAATCCGGGTAGTGCTGTGATTATGACCAACCCATCAGTGAGGATCCTCCCCTTCCTAACTAAAGTTAGAGGGGAGATCTCCAAGCAGAAGAGTGGTAAAGCAGCAGGTGTCTGCAGATACCAGCTGAACTGTTTAAGGCTGGTGGTGAACCTATGGCACGAGGGTTACATGCTGTCCTGGCTGCCATCTGGAGGCTTGGTACCGTTCCCCTTGACCTGTTGAGGGGTGTGGTCATCCCTCTCTCGAAGGGGAAGGGAGACCGATGGGACTGCAGCAACCACCGAGGCATCACACTGCTCAGTGTACATGGCAAGTTCCCACCCACATCCTTCTGAGACATATCAGAGACTACCTATTGAGGCATCAGAGGCCGGAGCAATCCGGATTCACTTCTGGTAAGTCCACAATAGACCATATTGTAACATTTAAGTTACCCCTAAAATAACAATTGCATAAATAAAGACTTTGAACAAAACAATCGTGTAAAGTGCAGTGTACACTTCAACTGAAATTTAACATTTTGTTATTTGTGTAATGTAAAAATAAAATGTTTCATAAAGACAAACAATTACATAAATTAATATTATTTATTTTACATAATCATATTGGTACTTTTACATAATCATCAGAGCTATGTAATATGTACTTTTATTCCAAAAGAAAGTTGGGTTCGATTGAATACGCTTTTTCTTGAATCCTTACAATATCCTTGTGCTTCAAGTAATTGTAGAACGCCGCCGTGAGTTCTGGTGTGGGCTGCTTGCAGCCTACATCGACCTCAAGATGTTCCTGAGATT